TCTTTTTTTTTTTTTTTCTTCATTTTTTGGTGATGCTTTAAAACCTGGTTTCTGTCCTGCAGAGAGCTATAGTCTTTCTCTTGGGGAGTGACAGCGGCACATTCAACGTGGTAATGCCTGCTGCTTTTCCTCAGTCAGCTGGTGTCCACTAGCCCAGTGGTCTGGGCCTTTTGTAAGCCCTCATGGATTGGACACCAGGCAGACATGTGGGGGAAGAAGGAGAGGAGCTGTATAGACAAGAAAGCCAGCTGTGTGGGCAGTCCAGGGCTCAGACCATGTGCCCCAGAGGACCGTGCTGGCAATAAGCCTACAAGTCAAAGGCTTCTTTGGCAGAACCCTGGGCGGGGGGCACAGCCAGGGGACATTTTGGCTCCTGACTAGCAAGGCACAACCCTATAATGGCAGAAGCTCTTCTTCCCCCTCCTCATTTCCTACTAGACCCACTTCCTTCAAGGGTTTCTATCACCCTTACAGGCTGATGGGGCCAGGGATGTGAGCTGGTAAAATGGGCAGTGTGGCTGGGAACGGGACACTGTTCTTTCACCCCTCAGGGGGAATAGAGCCAGCACTTAATGGCTTTTCCAGGGGGCATATAGGAAAAGGGAACGCAGTGAAGAGAGAGAGAGGGAGAAAAAGAGAAGCAGAGAGAGACAGGAAAAGGAAGCTAGAGATACAGAAAGGGAGACTGCTTGGTCTATAGTGATTTTTTTTTTTTTTTCTCCAAAAAGAAAGAGAGGAGAGAATTCCTCATCTGAGGGTGGGGGCTGCTGGCTCTGAGGGCTAAGGAGTCTGGGGGCTTTAAAACCTGGGTCTTGGGCCTATGGGCACTATTTGTAGGGCCTCAGGAAGCTGGAAACTTTGGAGCGGAGTAGCTTGATGAAGGATTTTGGCAGCATCTCCTTGTGTTTCTCTGTATACTTGAAGTAGTTCTGGGGGTGAGCCAGCACCTCGAAGAAGGCCTTGATGAGCTTCTTGTCCTGCAGAGGATGGCAGGTGGTAATGTCAGCCTCAGCATTGGGGGTGGAAAAGAGGAACACCAGCCTCGACTCAGAAGCAGCCCCTCTTGATGCTAAATAGGCATGCCCAGAAATGAACTCTGGATTTTCATCCCCACCATCTGTTCCTCCTGTAGAATCCTATAACCTAGTCATTGGCAGCTCCACCCTTCTATTGCTCAGGTCCCAGTCCTTGGAGTCATCCTGAACTCCTCTCTCTTGCCCACAATCACAGCAAATCCTGTTTATTCCACCTTCAAAATATATCTGGGGTCTGACCATTTCTCACAGTCTCCATAGCTACCACCCTGTCCAAGCCATGTTCTCTCTCACTCGGACTACTGCAGCAGCCTCCTAACTGGTCTCCATGCTTCTACCTACCCTTGTTCTTCTACGGACTGTTCTCCCCTACAGCAGCCAGAGTGACTTTTTGGTTTTTAATTAGATCATATCCTCTTTCTGTTCAAAACACTTCTCTGGTTTCTGTTTTCGCTCAGTAAAGCCAAGTCCCTTGCATGGTCCGTAGGCTGAACATGATCTGTACCCCACTCTTTGTCCTCCATGCTGCTTTGACTTTCGTACTCTGCTGAGCTACACTGGCCTTCTCAAGGTTCTTGAGCATGCCACACTGCTCCCATGCTCCTTTCCTGATCTTCTAATGCGTAGCCCTTTACCTTATTCAGGTCTTTTCTCAGAGGCCTTTCCTGACCATTCTGTCTAAAACAGCAACACGATGTGTGGAGGGCCTCCTAGGTGCCAGGCACCGTGCACCGAGACTCAGATCTTCTGGCTTCTAGGCTAGTATTCTGATTTTTAAAATAAGAAGTGGGGCTTCTAGCCTCTCATCCCAACTTCAATCAAAACAACTCCACTACTTTATGTATTGGAGTTCCACAGCACATGTGAAATAAGGGTTCAGATGCTTTAAAAAATGTTTGAAAAGCATTGCTGAAATTTTTTTCTTTGTAGCCTGCAAGTCCGAAGCAATTTTTGTCATTGTGTCTCTTATTTTGAGGATAGTATAAAAATGATCTTATTAATCATAAAGATAAAACTTTTCCTTGCATTGATCATTTATGAAGGGTAATACTGTGGCTAGGACTGTAGTTTCCTAAGTACGATTTTCTCAAACTGGGATCCACAGACCAGGTGTTTAGTTCATTCTTCAGTGTTGGTAACATTTCTTTTCCTTTAAGACAGATCATATTGAATGGACTCTGAGAAACACTATGCTAGATCTGCTCCTTTTCTGTGGGAACTGAGGAAAGAGGAAGGGAAGGAAGGTACTTAAGCAGAAGTATCTTTCTATACCTCATTTTCCCTGTATTTCTTGGTGAAACAAGTAGGGGACATTTCACTCCTCATCTTCCCTTTCTCTTCCCCTACAGTGTAAGATAGTACAGTCAGATGGGCTTGAACTCATTGGGCAAACTCAACTCTCTGTGCCTCAGTTTTCTTATCTGTAAAGTGGGAATGATGAAAGTACCTATTTCATAGAGCTGTTGTATATATCAAATGAGAATATTCATGTAAGCACTTAGCATACTGCCTGCACATTGTTTATATGGTCATTAAATGCTGGCTGTTCTTGTGCACATTCACTTGCCTTTAAAATCTCCTGGTGGTTTTCAGACGCATAGAGCCGGCCATCTCGAACAATGTCTTCTACTAGCTGCTCATAGTCCTCTGCACAATCAACCAAGAGGAGGGGTTTAGGGGTAGAAACAATTCCTGCTCCCCCTGCTCCCTCAAGACTCATGAGCCTCCCCTTTCTCACCCACCTCCCTGGCATTTGTGCCCTTGCTCACCATCATAGGTGACGTAGGGGATCTGGAAGCCACGAGCACTGTTGGCCTCGCTCGTCTTGAAGTTGATCCAGAGCTTCCTGGAGCGGGCCGTGAAAGCAATGGGGCGCTCATAGGTCTGGCAGGTCTCATAGGTGGTAATGGAGGATGGGGAGGCTGGGAAGGCAAGCAGCAGGTCAGGGAAACAGCAGAGCAGGCTACCCAAGCCCTCCTGGAGGAGGGCTGAGTGGGGGAAGGAGTCATGCTGACAGAGACTCTCCCCCATACATGTACTTCCCCCACTCCCCAACGTACACAGGTCCTCTCCCACTGCCCTCCACTTGTTCCACAACTCCTCTTTGACATCCAGGCACTCACAGAGTGTAAGAAACTTGACATTTAAATGAATGGAATGGCAAAAATGCCAGAACAGGAAAGTGAGACACGTAACACTTTTGGAGTTCTAGTCCCAATGCTGGCATTCTTAACTCTGCTCTCCACCAATCACAGAGCACATTCATTGCTGTTTTCCTTTGTTAGCTTCTCCACTTCCAAGGCCTCCCTTCTCACTGCCCTAGTTCTTCCTGTACCAGTTTTTCCCCTCTCTGTCCCTCCCTCCCAACCAGATTTGAACTGCCCTTCCCTGGCCCAGCCCTGCAGCCACCCACAGTTCTTTCTCATGACGAGGACGTCCCCACACTCATCCTCAGATGGCAGGAAGATCTCGGGTACCACGATAAGGATCTTGCGCTTGGGTGGGGGGTTGATGTTCCAGACGCACTCCACGCCAGCTGGGTAGTTGCCTGGGTAGTTGGGGGACTCGATATAGCCAGTGAACTCACCCAGCTCCCCACCACACTGGCGATCTGTAACCAAGCCCAGATGGACAGAGCAAGAAAGAGAAGGGAAGTCAGTGGGGGAATGGGTTAGGGATGTTGAAGGATTTTGAAGTGGAAACCAGACACTGTAGGCAACTGCTTTCTGTTTCATCATCTTCAAGTTCTGGGTCCACCTTCCTTCCTGCCCTTTTAGTACCTTCTCATCTCACTTCACCTCTCTCTGTCTCCCCATCACCTATCTCCAGGGAGAGGGTGCCATGGGGCCCAGCCCAGCAAGTGGTCTTAAGATTGAGTGGGATGGGAGAGATGGAGGGTGGGGCTTTCCTGCCCATCCACTCCCTAGCCTTGCTCCCTGTTGGTTTACTTGCCCCACCCCCCACCTCTTCCCATGCCCGCTGTTCCCAGACCTCTCTGCCCCTTTTTCCACAGCTTGGGCTGCCACGTACTCTTGCACTGGGCCACACTGGTGGAGCCGTCAAAGTCAGTGCTTGTATTTCCTGGACAGCGGGTGCAGAAGTTCTGACGGAAGTCAGGCTGATAGGAGCCCATAGCACAGCGGATACAGCGATGGATGGTGGTGTTGTAGTAGTGACCAGGGGAGCACTGGACTGCAGGCGAGGGGGAAAGGTAGGCGTTAAGATGGTAGGCAAGTGGGAGTTCTGGGGCATGGGATGAGCAGGACACAGGAGACTGAAGACACCAAAGTTCCTTCCGAGTCCCAACCTTTCTTTGTCATGCCAGAATTGAAGCCTAGGGAAAAACAAACTTACAGAGTGGTTGGCTACCATGCCAATCCTTTTCTTTCAGGCACTGACTGTAGTGCCAAACTTCTAGAAACTCATTGGTAGTATTGAGGGGAATGTGCCACCAGTTCTCCGAAGCAGAGGGGTAAGTGGCACTGTTATTTATTCCCTAATTCCCAGACTTGGGACTGGTGGAGGGTCAGGATGTGTCCTATGAGCAGGATGGTCTGGTTGGTCAGGCAGCTGGGCCTTTCCTAGTTTGGGGAAGATGGTGTGCCAGCATACTCAGGTCTACTCTGAGGACTTGGAGAGTTTTTTTTGTAAGTAGTTAAAGTTGGGGAGTCCCCCAGTGTGTAGCCCATTCACCTTTGGTGTCACAGTCTTGGAAGGAGATGGCCCCCTCATGCTTGGTGGTGAGGCCCCCACCACAAGGGAAGCACAAGGTCCGTCCTGCTTCAGGTTGGTACGTGCCGCGTGGACATGGCTGGCAGGGCTTGAACCCATCAACAGAGTATTGGCCAGGAGAGCACTGACCTGCAATGAATCAAGGGCCCAACTCTGATGGGGATGGTCCTGGTCATCCCCACGGGGTCACCCAGTCTCAGGGGACAGAGACACACAAGCAGGATGTTGACTAGGAGAGTGGTCTGGAGCCTGGGCCTGCCCTTGGGAAATCCCATGCCCATGGGCGTCCCAGTGCCCACCCTACCCCACTCTATATTGTTTGTTCCCCTGGCACCTGCACATGTGGTGACGTTGGTGGCTCCGAGAGGCCCGTGGGCATCACTCCCAGGGCAAAGGTCGCAGGAGAGCTGCCCTTCTCTCTCCTGGAAGGTGCCCGCTGGGCATGGCACACACTGCTCCGTCTGGCCGTGGTAATACGTTCCCTGCGGGCAGCTGACTGAGGGAGAGTCGGCCGTGCTAGCCACCCCGCCCCCCTATTTCCCGCCACCCAGGCCTGGGATTCCCCTTCCCGCTTCCCCAGATTCAAGGAGAATCTCTTTGTCTGGGAATAGACAGAATCCTGCTTGGGAAGATCAGGGGCCAATGCCATGTAAAGGAGGGTTGATGGCCCCTCTGGACATGATATCCCTCTAGATTTCAACCTGGGACCAGGGAGAGGATGATGACAGGCAGGAGGGTCTTGGCTACCTCACAATTTGAGGTACAACTGAGGCCGTAAAGTGTCCTGCTCTCTGAGTCAGGCCCAAGTTGGGCCTTCCCCGTTCCCCTGCTCCCCCGCTCCCCAGCAAGCTCCCTTACCACACTTAGCCCCAGCACGGTGCTGCCCAGGCCTACAGGCCTCTGCTGGCTCAGCTCGCTCCCCAGCTCCTGGGCCCGGCTTGTGGGCTAGTTCATAATCAAGGCCTGCCAGGCGCAGCAGGAAGCGGTCCTGGTTGATGGACTTTCTGAGCATCTTCAGGGACCCTTTCAGCCTCCGTTCCATTCGCTGTCGGAGGCAAGGCAGTCCACAGCCAGCTGGTGATAGATGATGGTGTGAGTCAGGGAAGGAAGAGAAAGTGGCTGTGAGCAGGAGGGCAGGGAGCAAAGCTAGGAGCTAGGAGGGATGTGGTAAGAGAGACTGGCTCCTGGGCTTGGTGTTAGGCATGGTCTGCCCTTAGTACAAACTCTGCCCCTTCCCTTTGCTGCTGAGACTTGTGGTTTCCCCACCTCTGACCCCTTGCTTTCCACCCTCCTTCCTGCAGTGCCCCCAGTCCCACCTGTGGTTTCTTCGGCTCTGACCTCTGCCTCCAGTTCCAGGGTGAGCCGAGTGACTTCCTTGCCTGGAGGGGTCCGGGCCCGCCGGCCCTTGCCCTTCCGAGAGGAGTCACACTTGAGGTGGATAAAGGTGATCTGGCAGTCAGAGCAGGGGGCACCACCTGGGGGAGAGGCCTTGTCAACCCCAGGGGCAACCCCTGGGGACAGAGAAGGCTCTCACTCCCAGCTCTCACTTTCCCACCCTAGCCCAAGCAGACCTCACCAGATCTCCACAACTGTCTCAGTTCACTTTTAAGGTAGGATACCTATTATTTGGTGGAGGGATATCCTGGGACTTCTTCCTTGGGCCCTATGCCTACAAGTGCTTCTTCCCTCTGCTCTGTCCAGAGTTCAGGATGCCAGTGGGTTTTTAGAGATCTCACTAAGCAGAGGAGCTGAGGGGTGGGGGAGGGGTGTGGTGGCCAGACAACCCATTGGAGGGGGGTCCCCAGTCCAGACCTGGTCCCGGGATTCTGCTGGCCTCCTCCGTTTTGCCTTTGTTTCTCAGGTGCAAACGGCATTTGGCATCCTTGATCTTGAAGGAGGCCCGCTGTTTAACCGACAGCACTGCAGCCTCTAGAGGGATGGCAGAAGCTCAGCACAGCCTGGGGGCGCCGAGGGGGGTGGGTACTGCTGTGGAGGGTATTGAGAAGCTGGGCAATAAGCCACGGGCTTGGCTGGAGAAGGATTATGAGAGCCGGGGGACTCAGATGTTAGGGGCAGAGGGAGCAAGGCAAAAGGGCTGGAGAATGACAGAGCAAGGAAGGGGATCCAGGAAAAAGTAAGACCAGGAGAATTAATGAGGAGAAATCGGGGTTAATAAGCAAGAGAATAAGGTGGGAACAAGGCCTCTGGGCTGGTGCTCACCATGGCAGTGGTTGGAGTTTGTGCTGTTCCCGGTGTGGCCAGCTCGGGCTGGAGTGGCCCTGGGGCTGGGGGTGCCACAGCTCACCGTGAAGCCATTCTCAGACTCTGAGAGAAGGGGGCTGTCACAGCTCTGAGCTGCCCGCCCCCAATGCCTACTGGTTGGAGTAATGCAAGGGAAGCAGGAGAGCTACCTGAACAGCCAGCCTTTCCTCCCTGCCAGCCCTACAGCAACCACCTCTATGTACCTGGCAAAAACCGGGCCCGGGAGGGGCAGGTCAGGGCACAGGTGTCCTTCTTGCCAGACCGGTTGCAGCTGAGCATGGCTTTCGAGGCACCAGGACTGCTCTGACATTTGACCGGCTCTAGGAAGGGGAGAGAGACCTGAGGAGGAGAGGGCCTTCCTCTCCCACCCTCTACACTTGGCTGGTTTGGGAAGAGCATTAGCTACATGCAGAACTGTAACTGTAAACAGAGACTGATGAAGGGATTCGTCACCAGAAATTTCACGTCAGTAACTCAAATGGCTACATTCTACTCCCCTACTACCTTACCCCTTCCTTGGCATGGAACTCCCCACTTTCCAGGACCCCAATTCCCACCCCCCAAAAATGTAGTGCCAGCTCTGGCCAGCAGAGGGTGCCGCCCACCTGTGCAATCTTTGCCATTCCAGTGCAGCCGGCCCTGGCCTGCGGGGCAGGTACACTGGTAGCTGCCTGGAGTGTTGATGCAGCCAAAGCGGCAGCCTCCCCGGTTGATGCTGCACTCATCCACATCTGGGGGAAGGAGGAGGGAGACACCAACAATGGTGGGGGAGTAGGAGCCAGGGAGTGGGCAGTGAGTGAGGACCTTTGGTGAGAGTTCCAGGCACTCCAAGATGACTACTGGCTTGAGAAAAGCTCAAGCCTAGGATCTCCTTCCTTTATCTCTGTCCCCAAAGAACGATTGAGAAGCGGCCAAGCTGACAAGCTTTGTAAAGCCTGCCATTCCTTTTTGCCACTGGGGCTGTATTTGAGAGTTCAGGATGGGAGTGGGAGTCAAGAAGCAGCGTTGGGATGGGAGATAGAAATTTTGGAGGTAGGATGCTGTTCCCTGATCTCCTAGTCTCCCGGTTGTCTTAATTTCTCCCATTTATCATGATGGATGCAGACATGGCACATGCACCTGGGGATTGCCCAGAGCCAACGAGCCAAATCAGGAACTCATTCAACTGAAGGGTGTGGAGGTGAGAGGGGACAGGTGGCTGAGGGTCTAAACTTGCTGGCTTACCCCCACAGTGGGTGACACCATATAGCAGGTAGCCATGATGGCAGAGGCACTGGAAACTTCCTGGTGTGTTGACACATACGTGGTCACAGGTTCGATCAAAGGAACACTCGTCTATATCTGGAAGAATAAGGATTCAAGCCACTGAATCTGTCTTGGGGCATTTGACCCTGCAGTCCCTTGCTCAGGTGAAGGACCCAAATGAGGGGCCTTGGCCCTCCCTCATGGCCCAGCCCTAAGATCAGTGATTTAGCAATGCCTACCCATCCCCTGTGCCCCCTCCACTTGTAGTCTTTGGAGTCAGGAACTGTGAGATCTGGTACCTGTGGATCAGGGTCACCACATGTGGTTAGGCAGGTTGGATCCTGCCAAGGATTTGAAGTGGGGTGAAATCCATCCCTCCTTGCCAAAAGCAAGGTAGAGTTGGTCATCAAGAGGAAGGGGTACATTTGCTAATTTGCAGCATGACACTGCCCATGGAGGCTCTCCACAGTGTCTATTGACTTCCCCAGACTCTGGCCCTCTGGCCTCCTTGAAGCTCTCCTAGCCCCAGAACCTCTCCTAAGGCTTTCCCCTTGGCCCAAGTCTGCTCACCCTGGCAGTTCCTCTCATTGATGAGAAGCTTATAGCCCTTCTTGCAGCTGCATTCAAAGCTGCCCACTGTGTTGCGGCAAATGTGGTCACAGCCCCCGTTGTTCAAGCGGCACTCATCTATGTCTGGGAAGGCAGGACAAAGTAGAGAGAACCAAAGGTGATACCACAGGCTGGGGACAGATGAGGAGACAACATCCCTCCCTCCCTCACAGAGACTGAGAAAATCAAGCAGAGCTCTGGGCCTGCCCTTCTGACTCCTCTCTCACTCTCTGGTCTGTTTCTTCCCTGCTCATGGAATCTGTGGCCATTAGGACCAGTTTCTTTCCTGGAAATGAGCCCTCCCAGAAGGGGACAGATAGGAAGCAGAGTCAGGCCTTCAAGGACTGCCTGGAGTAGGAAGCAGGATGGCATTTGAACTACAGGGCTAATTTCTGTCCCTCACTCTGTGTGGATGGCACTTCCACAAAAGGCTGGTGGATAAGGCTTATATCTTCCCTGTTCCTGACCCCTGCCTAGCATAAGAGCCCCGGGCAGTGGGCAACAGGGCAATGGTGGGGGGGGG